AGTAGAAGTCGAATGTGGACCGCTTTCCAAAAGAAAACGCATGTGCCGTTTTGACATCAGTGTACTAAAAAAAGGATATGAGAGGAGAGTCACCCACTTGAAGCAAATGGCGATAGCGCTCCAAAAGGGAGGAGCGTTAGTGGAATGGTCCGCAGACGACGCTGAAGGTGGAGTTGGAGGTGAGCCACGTCTGATGAATAGCGACAAAAAGAAAGCGATCGTCGTTAGTATCGCCATACTGGTGTTCTTAAAATAGCAGGTTGATGTTCGCTTATGGTTAGTAAGCATGCACCTCTATTGTGTAGAAGCAGTCAAGTGTAACTGTTCTTCATCCGACTGTTGCGCTTTGAAAAGCATGTTAAACTGAGGAGTAAGTGTGCATACATATATTCCAAGAAATCGAATGGATTATCCCTTGAGTTACTCTTCCCAGCCTTATAGGCACTCTTATACAGATTGCTAAGAAGTGAAAGAAGAAAACCCATTCCATCAAACCGGTTTGTCGATATATATTGCTGGACTTTTGGATTTATACTTGACGCCCATCAAAGGAAGCATAGGGGACTCACATATCCCTTGGAAAAAATGTGCCCTGCATTAACTGAAACATCGCACCAGAGGTTACACATCCATCAGGAACTTTGTGAGCCTTCCCGCATTTCAGATCCATTGCCCTGGATGCTGCAGTCATGAAGTCATCCATTCACAAAAATCCCTCTGGCGTGACAGGAACTTTGGACGATAAACCAAGTCGGATGAAGAACCGCTTGGAAACAAGAAACGCCAAGCACACCCGAGCTAAGGGTGAACCCCATAGCTCACGTGTGCTTCGCCCTTCGATAGAGTGCCTTGTACGGCCACCTCCCCATGATCGCTACGACCTCGTTGACGGTGTCAAACGGTGGTGGGTGTCGTTATTTTTTGCGACCACTATTGTTTGGCCTTATTCCAGGACCACAATTATCCGTATTTTCTATCTTCTTTTCATTTCTAGCTTCCTGGTGGTATTATTACTAAGAAAGCATCCGATCTTCGTAGAATTAGAGTGAGCTGTCAAAAGGGGAAGGGAAAGGAGGTGGGGGTAGGGGGGGGCTGAGTGTGACTTCTTTCACCTCTCGTCCTGTTATCTTCCTTGATAGTGAAATATGTCATTACAGAAGACGTAGCGGGTAATGTGAACCGGAGAGTATGCCGGAGCATGAATCGCCAAAATAAGATGGAGACAACAACGCAGTCTTAAAAAGCTACTAACAGACAAACAGGCTGCACTCTACCCCTTAAAGCAAGAATATTTAAAGGCACGGGTCGCGATCAATAGGTGTGCTATTTTGCTTGGTAATCAGGCAATAACTGCGGAGAGGATTCTCAGTGGGCGAGAAAAAGCAAAAAGCACAATGGAAAACATTGAATTTTTAGGTGAGAAGTCGACCGTAATAAGACGGATGGAAAAACGCGAGAGGGCGCTGACGCCACCTACCCGTTAATATGATTGATAGTCGCAGCGGCAAAGTAATGGCAATAGCTCCCTTGCCGCGCAGTTTCGAGGAGCGACAGTACCACCACTCCTATGATTAGGGTCCTACTACCTCAATCAGGGAGAGAAATCCTTCGAAGACTTTATCGCGACCCGCGCCTCAGAACTTCACATTTCTCACATCAATTCAGCAAGAAGCGAGCTATAGGAAGGCCTTTAAGCGCTCATTTATCGATACTCCTCGGTATACGAAAAGTTTAGTATTCTACAAAAATGCTATTCATCAAGCGCAAGAATGAAACCTTTTTGCTTGAATATGCACCCTAGTATAAGTATTGTAGATGTAAAGCGGCGCGTGGGGATAGAGTTGGTGTGGTATTTTATTCAAAATTTGACAAGAATTGTTAAGGAACGTCAGTAAGAAAAACCAAGAAGCGCCTTAGAAAGTACTGAAATATCCCTTGTGAGGTCGGCCATGGAACGACGGAGACACAGCGATGCGAGAAGAGGGAAAGCGGGAGAGCACGTGGTAAACGAGAGGTATGCTGCGATTGATAAGGATGGCAGCACGGCAGCACACAAGGCAAGGCCTTAGCGCCGTTGCCTCGCACTTTTGAGTCGCGACAGTGTCGCGCTTCTGCGCTTGAGACCCTCTTTCTTACTTTAGGAGGGATTACTTTTTGACGCCTAATCCCGACCAGTGGCTTTAGGTAACACTTACCCGTAGAGTTCGTAGCCTTGTTCAGTAATGATGTCGGACATTATCACCATGAAGCCCCATAACTCAGCAAACGCCAGTCCAAACGTAAACATCTGGATAACAAACTGTTTGTTCCTGCAAAAAAAAACTTGTGAAAGAAATATTCAATTGCACTCAAGCAATGGAAGTAGGTGATGCAATGGTTGGAAGCTTTGCTCACTGCCTGCACTAACCCAGCTTAGAGCAAACAAACCTTTATATTCTCTGGAAGTGCAATACCTAAGCAGTGGAATAAAAACAGTAATTAACATAAAAGGGCAGAGGAATTTTCGGTGAGACATAGTAGAAGTCGAATGTGGACCGCTTTCCAAAAGAAAACGCATGTGCCGTTTTGACATCAGTGTACTAAAAAAAGGATATGAGAGGAGAGTCACCCACTTGAAGCAAATGGCGATAGCGCTCCAAAAGGGAGGAGCGTTAGTGGAATGGTCCGCAGACGACGCTGAAGGTGGAGTTGGAGGTGAGCCACGTCTGATGAATAGCGACAAAAAGAAAGCGATCGTCGTTAGTATCGCCATACTGGTGTTCTTAAAATAGCAGGTTGAATGTTCGCTTATGGTTGTTAAGCATGCACCTCTATGTGAGTAGAAGCAGTCAAGTGTAACTGCTCTTCATCCGACCGTTGCGCTTTGAAAAGCATGTTAACACATTGACGACATTGAGACGCGGTAACGCGTCTCACTTTGCGCACCTCGTTGGACATTGAGACGCGTTACCGCGTCTCACCCTTATCATCCCTTTTTCTAGGGCATGCGCAGCTTTTTCCCGAATTGTTTGTCTCTCTTCTATGGATTAGAACATAACATTATTGTGAACGACATAGGTCATTGTTTGTTCAAATATGCTCCAGTTTAGAAGAAGTTTTCCAAGCTCACCGAAACCGGCGGCTTGGTTCATTAATAGTTTTCATGCTATTCTCATGAACACGTCAATAAAAAAGGGTAGTGAAAGTAAATGCAAATCTAAAGAGACAGAAAAATACATGTTTCACTTGGTATAACCACATCAAAAGAGCTTTTGGCATCCACTACAGATAAAATGACTAAAATTTCCTTTTTCATTACCATTACATGTTCTTTAATCGGAACTTCGTCACTATATACTCTATTACCTTCTACGCATTGACTGTTACTGAGATGTTTTTGTACCACTGGTGCTTTAAAAAGTTATCAATAAAAATTCACGGATCCGAGGTGCGGCGGTCGCACTCGCAAAATCGGCCCGGTCCCACACGGCCAAAAAAGCCAAAACGCGCGCGGTCGTCAATGTGTAAATGAGGAGTAAGTGTGCGACAAAGAGGGGGGGCCAAAGAAAAAAAGCATTTCCCTCCACTTCCAGAGATTTAACACAGTTGTCTGCGTTTTTACTCAACTCAGACCGAACGGTTCCAACTTATTATTAAAGAGTGCATTCCATTCTATAAGAAAATCTTCATAGTGGCCACGTACGTGGACGGCATCAGAAGAATTAGCCCTGGAAACATGGTGCACTGGTCGATCTCAATGGGGTCTTCGAAGGATCGTGTACCATAACGACCCTTACTGGAAAGCTAGTTCCGAGGGGATTTGCACAGTGGTAGCTAATGCCTCTAGAAAACTATCCAACATTAAATCGATTCACGAAATTGCGTAAGAGCTTCAGGCTGAAGCTCTTACGGTAGACCTCCTTGAGCCTGACGACGGTGACAGATGACGTCATATTCTGAAGACGGTGAGGGCAGTGAAGGAGAGCCTGCGTACACTAATAGAGGAACACTTAGGGAATACTCTGCTGAGGAACTCCCGTCAACGACAGCAATCTCTGCGAAGAAAAAAGAGCCGAAGTCCGACATAGGCAAAATGTCTTTTTTTTGGCCCCCCCCTGTATTCAAAATCAGAATGATTAATCTGAGTTACTCTTCCCAGCCTTATACTTATAGGCACTCTTATACAGATTGCTAAGAAGTGAAAGAAGAAAACTCATTCCATCAAACCTGTCTGTCGATATATATTGGGCTTTTGGATTTATACTTGACGCCCATCAAAGGAAGCAAAGGGGACTCACATATCCCTTGGAAAAAATGTGTGCCCTGCATTAACTGAAACATCGCACACAGAAGTATACACATCCATCAGGAACTTTGTGAGCTTCCCGCATTTCAGATCCATTGCCCTGGATGCTGCAGTCATGAAGTCATCCATTCACAAAAATCCCTCTGGAGTGACAGGAACTTTGGACGATAAACCAAGTCGGATGAAGAACCGCTTGGAAACAAGAAACGCCAAGCACACCCGAGCTAAGGGTGAACCCCATAGCTCACGTGTGCTTCGCCCTTCGATAGAGTGCCTTTATCGCCACGCTCCCCATAACTGCTACGGACTCTCGTGACGTGTCCAAACGTGGTGGTGTCGTTATTTTTGCGACACGTAGTATTGTTTGGCCTTATTCCAGGACCACAATTATCCGTATTTTCTATATTCTTTTCATTTCTAGCTTCCTGGTGTTATTATTACTAAGAAAGCATCCGATCTTCGTAGAAGCCATGAGCATACAGGCATCTGTTTCAGAGTCCCTCACCGTTTCAGGTAAATCGGAAGTCTCACGCGAGTATTCGCACTCATCTCTATGAATATACAGAGGAAGGCAAAAAAAAGAAGTCACCTTCATTTCACATTCAGAGCAAATTAATTACACTTTGCCAGAACCAAACCGAATGACTCAACTACGTATTGAAGAGCACATTCTATTCTATCAAAAAATTACATAGGGCTTTCTACACCGACATCAGAAGATTTTCCCACGGAAACATGGTGCACGGTACGAGCTCAACGAGGTCGTCGAGAAACCATAGACGATTACGACGTCTCTGAAACGCTGGTCAAAAGCCATCTTGCATAGTCAGAGCTAGTGTCCCTAAGAAGCCATTCACCAGTTATCCGATTGAAGAAATTATGTAGCAGCTTCAGAATGGAGCGATTATGGTAGGCCTCCTTGAGCTCGACGGTGATGACAGATGACGTCATATTCTGGAGACGGTGAAGCAGCGAAGGTGGGCCTGATTCTGCTTATGGGGGGACATCTAAGGAATAATTCGCCGTATAACTCCCAATAACAGCGGCATCCTTTGCGACGAAAAGTTTGATGATATGCGCCATGGGCAAAGTGACTCTTTTTTGCCCCCCCCTGTATATCACAAATACTGTATGCGATGCTCAGAACACTCGGATCTACTTCATCTGAGCAAGGCAGGACCATCAAGCGTCATCTGCGAGTCATCTTTCATGTCACTGCTGTCGCCACTGCTATCGAGTTCAATAGAAATGATGAGGTAAGCTGATGTTGGCAAACGGTAAAGAGACGTCTGATTAGTTGTGGAAGACATCCTGCCAAAAATTGGCTCAACAAACCGGGGAGCCAGAGTGACTTCTGCACGCCACCGCATCGCATGGCCTTTGATGACTCGAGCAAGGTCCTTTTCAGAGGTGTAAACGTGTCTTCTTTGTTTGGAAGTAATAGTAAGTAACTACGACTATTTCTCTGCGGAGGGTGCAACATGATATTCATAAAGCTCGCAGTAAAGCATGGCTCAAGACCTGTGATGGTCCCAGGAACTTGTAGCTGGAAGAAAGTCTCCTTATTGCATAAATTGTCGGTGAAATGACGGGGCAGAACTACCGAGAACAACAGAACTAACTCTACCAATTTCTCACAGCTTAGCTTATACATCCCTCATCGATTACCTGGCCACCTTAGCCGTACTTCGGCTTCAGCGGAGCTACACTTCTGATTTGTATTATGTGGAACTGGAATAATGTCCATGCTCTGTGGTTTACCTGTAAAAATTACCTGTTACAGAAACGCGGATGGGAACTGCGCAAGCAATTTTCATTTTTGCTAAACTTCACTTTTTCATGACATTGAGCAGATTGATATGACGAGAGTGGTTGCTCATGAGTACTTGATCAGGAGCAAGCTTGCAGGTTATAGACCTTTCGACAATATGAAGTAAAAGCTCGATGGCTGACCAAAGATTTGAAGAGATTGTGGTAATTGATTTTCAGATTTCGTTCAAATCCAATATACGCAATTACGGACTATAGGTAGCGAACACTTGACTTTTTTGCTAAAACAATTGCCGTAATCATCAAACTGGAACATATGCCATGATGGAACGGTGGAACTTTTGACGCCGCACTGAAATACAATGACGGTGTGATGGTGCCCAGAACGACGCCAAATGGATTTGCTGAAATCTTCTCTTTGAGACAGCAAAATGATGTGTGAAACGAACGTAAACACAAAGCGACAAAGTGGCCCCAACCGAAGATCTCCCGTGGATCTGACTCCACTAAAATGCTTCACTGATTCTCATAAGAAGCAGGATGTATTAGGACACAGATAGAATGGGCTGACTGCCGCCGAGAATTCTTTTTTCATCATGCTTACCGATAAATGTGAGCACATTTGCAAGGGATCGTTGTCGATCTGGAAACCATGTTTCGGCGATTTTTGATGGCAGGACCAAGAAGAACGCTTGGGCGGAATGCCGCAATGATTGAACCTTGAAAAGAAATGGGGGCTTCGAGGATAGGCAAAATTAAAGCACTGTTTATTTCACAAGAATGCTGGGTTGTGAACAAAACTTTCGCCCCAGGCGGGACTAGAACCCGCACCTCTCGCTTTCCGGGCAAGTGCGCTACCAGTTACGCTACCGGGGCACCATTTCATCCCAACTCAGCTTTCATGGGCTATGGTAGTATACCATGAAAAGCTGAGTTGGGATGAAATGGTGCCCCGGTAGCGTAACTGGTAGCGCACTTGCCCGGAAAGCGAGAGGTGCGGGTTCTAGTCCCGCCTGGGGCGAAAGTTTTGTTCACAACCCAGCATTCTTGTGAAACATTCGCAAGGCGAACTGCGGCCAAAAACAGCAGTTAACAAACAAAACAAGTCAACACTGATGTTTGTGTGCGAAAGTGAGGCGGAAATGTCCAGCTAATCAATCTGCATTCTGAATATCTGTTATGCCTCCTGTAAGCAACCGGTCGCTTACTATCACAGAATAGTATTCATTCTCACTTCGTGGAATAGCATTTCATTAAGCGAAATCTAGAGCTTGGCTATAAATGACATAGGAATTGCGCAACGAAGATTACAATGCTTGCTAATAGTTAGGCTGCTCTGTATTTGCCGTTGAACAAGAAGTAGGTTTAAGGCAGACGGTACGATAAATTGGTCGCTCATCGGGTATGGAAGTAGAGTCCCTGAGAGGTTAGTTTCCACGCTGGGCGAGTCTCATCGGTGCTAACGTCATCGACGTAAACGCTCTGCTGCGCCTCTGCAGAATGACTAGAGTCCGACTCACGTTTAGACGACTGCTCAAACTATTCAAACGCGCGGGTGCACTTCGTTCATGGAGTGGGGGAAGATCGCAAATCCAGTCGAGTCGAGCGCGTACTGTAATGATTTCGCGTCAAGTTGAATAGAATGTACCAGTGTGCGTCCTACATCGCACACCACGCGCTGCGACTCGTCCGCTGACTCTGCCTTCTTGCCGCGCGACGGGCCTCCTGTCAAGTACTCGGAAGTTACTGCTTAAAATCCTAGTAGAAAAAAGTGCGAACGTGTGATTTTTCGAGAAGCAACTTCGAGAAAGTCAAACATTAGTAAAACTCACATCCCACTTTCTCGCGGCACTAAATGTTTGCTATAAAAACGAGGAATGAGGAAGTTATAATATATGTAATCCCGAGAACTCGCGTTTTCAATAAAAGTGACAGACAAAACCCTCCACGAAGTGAGACAAAACCCTCCACGGATGTGATTTTTCAAAAAATGATCTTTGAGGAATAATCAATGCTCGTTAGCGAGAGCGATTTCTGTATTTTCCTACCATTTCGAAAGTTTGCCACAGAAATGAAAAAGAAGAAAGTTATGGTCAACAAAAACCCAAAAATCCGCATTCGCCCAAAAAAAGGACGAACGGGGAAGTTTTGAACAAAGTGAACGATCGAAAAACACTTGATATCCTCTGAGTAAAAATTATACGGCTATCAGTTATTTTTCGGATAGCCGTAAAGTTTCTACTCAGAAGATATCAAAGATGGATGCGCGCATTCTTCAGGAATTTGGTTCTCCACTTCGTAGCAGGCATTTTCCGCCATATGAGGTTATTTTAGTGTTTTTGGAATGGACGCCATCTGTATCCCAAATCTACCTATTAATAGAAAAGTTTATGATTTTTAGAAAGATATGTCTCTTTGAAATATCTTTTCTGACTGCGTCCCATTCTCTGACTCTCTAATGAAGGGAATGCGCTCGTAAGCTAACGCTACGACGCAACTGCCGCCTTTCAAGGATCATAACTTATTGTTGATGTACTTGTCCACTAACAAAACAACAACAGGGGTCGTAACGGCACCCCTTTGGGAAGAGACGCGACGGTCGACCCTGGTCCGACGCCAAGAACCAGCGGGGTAGCCAATCGCTGGGAGTTTACAGCAGGATCTAGAGTAAGCATCAACAACGAAATAAGACGTATCTACCCCAGTAATGAATGTTACCATGCACAACTCTTCTATGTATGCACGGCCTATGAAGAGATGAGATGTGATTGCTCTTGCAACGCATGCGTGATGAACTTGAACAGAAGCTCACATGATCAAATTTTCTCGACACTGTATTTCACCATGATCACATGATCATGGTGAAATACAGTGTCGAGAAGGTTCTTTGCAATAACTGGCGCGCCTCATGTGAAAAGTTTGACCAAGACTATGTAGGGTCAATCGATTTTTATAAAGCTGGAAATGCACGAATGGGTGGTTATGAACTGTTACGAGGCTTGTAGCGGGTGCAGCTCTTTCAGCCAAAGCGGAATTCTTACAACGGACTTCTCAGCAAGGTGTCAAAATCCACTAAAAACGTTAACGCATGCCCTAAAAATGTTGCAGTTGACGTCTGTTTGTACATACAGTGCGTTTCAAAAGTATAAAGCCACCCTTGAATGAAGCTGTTCCAAGTTAGAATGAAGGTTCCGTGATTTGATGAATAGTTTATCGAATTCAGCACGCTCTGAAACTATAGTAAACTTTGTTGTACAAACCACTATAAGCTAGAAACGGTTCCATAAGAAAATTTGAAAAACTCCCCTGTTTCAAAAGTATAAAGCCACCCCGGGCGAGTAGGCAACAGCGGTAAAAATTTTTGTTCCTGTTAACTCATTTGGAGTTCTTTGGCCATAATTAGCACAAACACATTACGTCTTCAATATATCTCGTGGATCTACGTTTTCTTTGGAAGAGCAAGTTCGTGCGAGGACGTTACATCGAGCTGCCCATTCAAATCGCTCCATTGCTGCTCAACTTGGACGTTCTCAAAGCTGTATCGACATTTCTTTTGAGGAATCCAGCTTATCATGAAAGGAAAGATCCCTGAAAGGTCACGTGTTCTGCTTGAGTATTATATCCGCCATATTAAACGATCCCTTTCCAATTCTACTGCGACCATCAGTCAGATCCGATACGAGCTCTCCCTTTTTGCTTCGAAAAGTTCCATCTGGAGGGTCGCTAACTCTGCTCCAAATATCGTGCGACAATCCATGATGAAGACTCCACGTCCGGAACAGCATCACAAAGCACCTCGTCTCGAACTCGCCCGGAGGAACATGCGAACGAGTTGGGGTTCGGTAGGTGATTCTACGGGGGTAGGGAGACACTTTCATCATGACGTTTAGTTAATGGCTTGTAGTGTTCAGTTCATTTTCTGTGGTTGAAAGAACTTCAACTTAGACGGGCCGGATGGTCATCACAGATTCTGGAGAGATTTTAGCAAAGATCCGCTGGTATTTAGCAGGAGAAACTTCGGTGGTGGCGCATAGATGGTCTGAGCTGCATTCTACAGCGATGCTGTGCTCCCTCTGTCTTTCGTCTCGTGTCAAATGGACCCCAGTGAGAATCAGGATGCTTTTCTTAATGATCTTCTCTCGTTTCTGTGTGGAAGTCGTCGGCAAAACTTCATCTTTATGCACGATTACGCCACCATCCATCGCAGCCGGTCCACTCAACACCGGGTTTACGTCAACAAAATCAGTGTACTGGAATGGCCTGCTAGCAGCCTAGATCCAAATCCAATAAAAAACACCTGGGGTATCATTGTCCGACAGATATACGCGTATGGAAAGCAGTACAGTAACGTGGGAGACCTCAGACAGCCATCGAGACGTTTTCCTACCACCTGAATCCCGCTATACTTCTGAAGCTCACGGATAGTATGCCAAATGGTCTATTAAATCTCACTTCTAAAAAAGGAAGTCACGCTAGTTACTAATATTTACGATGTTCACTTTTTCTCTGGAAAAATAGAGTTATGTTGCAAGTGGCTTTATACTTTTGAAACAGGGGATATTTGGAAATCTTCTTATAAAAATGTATGTGAATCATTTTGTTTCCTGAAATAAAGAGAACAATGGTTTCCAAACACGCTGAATTCAATAAAGTTTATGGCAAGCCATGAAATACTCACCTTAACTCGGAAAGTTAGTTTTCATGGGTGGCTTTATACTTTTGAAACGCACTGTATATATGTTACGTTTTACTGTATTAATCGTGCCATGTACTGTATTACTCATGCCATGTATTCAGTGCTGTAATTTGAAGTGCCTTTATTCACTTCCTCATTGTAGCCTTATTCGTCTCGGGTCGGTAACGATCGATAGGGGGTCGGTCAGTATTGATCGCGGAGGGGTGCCTTGGGCAGATTGTCTGCCCCTCGCGATTCATGTAGTCCGCTTCGCGCGCTGTTTTCAAAATCATCAATCAATGGAAGGCGCGAAGCGGAGGGAGCACTGGAGGCAAGCTACCGGTTAGCCAGTCTTAGTCTCGACCGTTGTAGGAGAAGGTTGCGAGAGCAACCTAGGACCTAGCCGCTTCAGGATTTGGAACTCAGGTGATCACCTGAGGACTCTAAAGGACCTTACGGATAGGCAGACAGGTAGCTTACCTGAGATTGGAATCCAATTATCTCACTTATTTAGCCATTCCACTATCCGCCTGAAGATTCTCACTGGTTTACCTCATAATCGCATACTTTGACAATAAATCTGCATTGAAGTTCTTCGTGTCGGTTTTGTTGCAATAGTAAGCGTTTCAACGCCAATTCTACTTGTTCGATAGCAGTGTTATCGCAAAGCGATGCGAGGGGCAGTTCAACGGGGAGCGGGCCGAAAACTCCGGCGGAAGCCGAAGGGGTCGGACCGCGACCCCAAGGGCCAAGCCAACCCTCCATTTCACGTTGATATTTCCAGGAAGGCGTTGATGGCAAGTGAGCAACTTAGCCGGTCGTCGAGTATTGACACTGTTAGCGCCCAATTGGACCGAGCAACCATAGCAGACGAACAACAAATGGATACGGATCAGGTTAGTGTTTCTGGAAACTGGCGCAGTTTGTTGGAGCGTATTGCTCCCACATATGAAGCCGCGATAAAATTAAAATGCGTAACATCTCAGTTGCTAAAATGACGTACATCCTAGAGTGCGTACAAGAAAAGGTAGATTGTGCAATTGCACAAATTGAGAGCTCTTCGCAAATGACGCAGAAAGTCGGAAGCAGATGAGTTTTGCAGCAGCTTTCATTGCCGCTCGAGGAGCTAAAAGCGATTATAATTAAGGCGGGTGGCCAAGCTGAAATTCTTAGAGAGCTGACTGGAATGCTGCAGTGTAGCGAAGGCGACCTTACTGAAGTAGTAAGGGAACAGCAGCAATCAGTGGTGCACCTGAATAAATTAATCCAGTATTTCAGGACAAAGGCGTTGCCCCGTATGATGCGAGTACGTCGCACACGAATGCTGCTGCAGGTACTGAGATGTTACATGTAAGCCAATCGTTAGAAACACTTAGGAAAAGCGAACCATTACAGGGCAGTCCTGCAAACAGACCGCAAGAATCACAAAGGACCAGCGGTGGGCATCCAGCGCCCCTGAAATCGATCCTCAGAAAGGACAATCGCCAAAATCGTCGACACCGTCTTCCCTCGCGCAAAGCAGGGGTGATTTAAATGATTCTTCTGATTCACATAAATGTTGTTCTTGTGAGTGT